GCTGAAGTTCATCAGTGACTACAGCACAGCTTTCTGTAGGGTTTTGTGGTGGTCTTTAAGGTTCCCACCTCGCAAGAGATTTCACAGCACTTTCTCTAAAGCTAACCCTTTCCACACTTGTCCAGTATCTTTTCTTTTTTATTATGGAAAAATTAAAATATAAATTTGCCTAACCTGTTCGTATTATCTAACCATTCTTATATAAAAACTCCATCCTCAAAGCTTTCTGAATTACCTACATGTACAGGAAGCTGTGAGGTGAGACAGTAGGTGACTGCTTTAATGTACCTTCCTATGGGAAGGTTGATCATGAGTTCTTGGGGTTGAAATGGGACTTTCTCTCTTGCATTGTCCACCCTATCACTTTTTATTTTTTAAGGTTATTTAAAATCACCTATATAATATACATTCTTCTTTTTTTTTACCCCAAGGAGTTTACTTACTACTTTGTCATTACGAAGAAAGTGATCCTGAATTCCAGCCAAAAATCTTAATTTTTTTTAACAACCCCTTGAAAACCCCCTTGTAGTACTTGAGTAGAGCCAAAAGATCTTTTGGTTATTAATGAAGAATTTCCAGTTTGGAGCATTAAGCGATTTGTTAGCTTGCAGCAGAGCCACTCACAAGTGGTTTAATTTATCTTGCTGGCAAGCATCCAGTTCAGGGGGGCAGTGGTATGTGCTCCAAAATGAGCAGACAGTCTCCATATGGAACATTATCACTTATAAAGATGATTTTCGTATCATTTAGATCACTAACGATGGCTTCCAGTACAGTAATTCCAGAGTGCTGACCCTGTACGACGCGGTCTGCCAGGCCTGCCAACTCCATCCAACTGGACTTTGTAAATTAAAGGTAATTTAAAGATCATAAAGGTTTAATATGGATCGTTCATCTCTTCCTTAGCCCTCTACCTTCCATTGATGTACTGTGTGTAATAACTGCTTTAGAAGAGGAAAATCTATTCGATAGGTCAGCTGCACAGCCTAACACTCCTCTCTTTCACAATCTCAAGTCTGTGATATTTTATTTCTTTTTCATATTTACGTGGGGTATGAATACCTGATAGGGCTTGCTTTATGATGGCCCTTTCTCACGCAGACACTTCCAGAAAGACCATGGTTGACAATATTTATACTTTGCAGCTGTTAGTGGAAGTAAATAAGAGTGAGGAGTCTCTCCTGAAAGGCTTAACTTCCCTTTTGAAGTGTCTCTGCTATTTTCCCTCTCGCAGCCTGTTTGGCGAGGGCACTGTAGCTATAAGGTATATCATTTCTATACCCATTTTCTGCCTTAGCAAGAGGTATACAAAGATGCATGTTATACAGTTTTTGTCATCTAAGAACACCCTTGAGAGAACATAAAGCATTCTTGCTTACATTAAACACTGCTAAGTACAAACATATAGTATTTTGACAGTTTCAAAACCATAATCAAAAGTCTACAGCTACGTTTTAAACTGCCAACATGCTAGAAACTGCCTGCAGAGCACTATAACCCTCTGTTTTCCTGTGGACTTATTGGTATAACATCCCTTAAGAAAGAGCTTCCCTGCTCTTATTTTCTAGAGACCTGCATTAGGCAAATTAGCTGTTTTTCAATGGGGCTTCAAAAGGAACTTTGTGGGGTATTAGGTGGGATATTTGACTGTGCTGATCCTGCTTTCCTCCCCTGAGTCAGGTATGAATTAATAGGAGACTACCAGTTTGCATTTTATAAAGATTCATCAGGTACATCTTAACTCATTTGCCTCACTCTTCTCATTAACACTGATGGGAAAACACAGTTTTCAAACTTGCACTGATTAAAAGAGCATAGCAGTTACCAAAATTAAAACAAAAAAATGTTCATATTTTTTTCAAATAAAACAGTGAATAGAAATTAATTTATAGGCCCATGTGGTAGGTTGACCCTGGTTGGACACCAGGTGCTCACCAAAGCTGCTCTGTCACTGCCCTCCTCAGCTGGGCAAGGAGAGAAATATAACAAAAGGCTCATGAGGCAAGATAAGGGCAGGGAGAGATCACTCATCAGCTACTGTCATGGGCAAAATAAACTCCACCTGGGGAAATTAATTTATTTCCAATCAAGTCAGAGTAGGATAATGAGAAATAAAAGCAGATCTTAAAACACCTCTCCCCTACTCCTCCTGTCTTCCCAGATCATCTTCACTCCCAATTTTCTCTCCCTCCTCCCATGCAGTGATGCAAGGGGATGGGAAATATTGCCTGCAGTCAGTTCATCACATGTTGCCTCTGTTGCTCCTTCTCCCTCAGGGTTGGACTCCTCACCCTTGCTTCAGCATGGGGTCCCTCCTATGGGAGACAGTTCTCCATGAGCTTCTCCAGTGTGAGTCCTGCAGTTCTTAAGGAAATGTTCCAGTGTGTTACCCCCTGGGGCCACAAGTCCTGCCAGCAAACCTGCTTCAACTTCCACTTCCAGCAGCTTCTCACAAAACTCACCCTGTAGTCCCACCCTCTTCCAAACCCTTGCAACACAAACCCAATACAGCCCAAATGAGGGCAAAACCACTTAAATTTCAGATTAAAATAATTGTGTCAGAGTCATTTCAATTAAAGTGAGGGTGAGGGGTTTTTTTGTCTAAGGCTTTCCTTATTCTTGCATTTTTGAAACTCAGAAATATATATGTTCTCTCAATATGCTGGTGTTCTCTAGGGATTATAGTCATTTCTATCCTAAAATGCTTCAAGGGACTATTTGAACTAGGCTTCCAATTGCATCAGACCACATTCTAATTACCCCTCCTATAACATTACTCTGCAATACCTAAATTGCTTTCAGAAAAGGTGCTTCAATTAGGGGACATTTTATATCAGGCCATTTCACATTCTGTGTTCTTTTATGGAGCCCATTCTGTACCACACTATCCCATCAGAACGAGAGCATTTTGTTTCCATCAGAGCATCAAGTCTTTGAAAACAACAATGTAATAAAATCTAATTAACATATGGGTTTTAATGTTGAAGATCTGTCACGTTCTATCATGTCGGTGCAATTATGAGAATCATTTTTGTTTCTCTACTTTACCCACTGCTCTTAAAGAGGTGTTACTTAAAATATTGACTAGTATAGTTTGCAAAAGAAGCTTGAGAAACTAATAGAACAGTAGACAGAAACCACAAAACAAGGCCAGTAACGGGAGACACATCGTCCTCAGAAAAACAATGTGTATTCAAAGGAAGGAAAATGTCTTTGACCCTGGTAGGTTTTTCCTCCTGCTCTCCCACTGCTGTGGTGATATCTCCTGTGTTCCCTGTGTTTGCTGGGAATTTTCAAGGTCAGAAAATGCCCCATCTCCAGGTGTGCCCACACACAAGCTACAGGCTAAAGGCATAACTCTGCCATAGGACCTTCCTGTGGTGTAGGTGTTCAATTACACCTGTTAATTATGTCCCTGTGTTTTCTTCTCAGACAATTCAAGTGTTTTCAGCCCACGTGGAAGCCACATGGCCTCTTTGGCCCTTGTGGGCACCGTAACTAGGAGTGGGACAAGTTAACCTCAAAGACTGCTGTGCCCATAGTGCATCACACGAATGTCTTTTGGGATGTTCTGCCCCACTTAGGCACCATTGATGTGCTTAACTCTTATTTACAACTATCTCACAGGAGCCTGAACTCTAAGGCACTTCTTTATTCTGCTTTTATAAAACTGCTTTTTCAGATATTTATGAAGAACATCCAGAAATAGCTAAGTTACCAGAACAGGATTCCAAAATTTCAGATGGGCCTTTTATCTGGGCTCAGTTTTTGTGAGTCTCATGGAGTTCACCTTTTAGCAACACCTAATACTCATCATATTGGTCACAGCTGGGAATAATGATCATATACACCCCACGAGTGTGAAAATGGGAAAAGAAGAGTCATATTCTGTGGCATTCATCTATAGCAAAGCAACACCACATGTTGCCTAAGCTAAAACATTCAAAGCTTCAAGCATCTCAACTGAAACAGGAAAACCTACATGGCTTATTTTCTCCCTATCAGCACAAAGCACCGACATTTAAATTGCTATCATTTTATTGTTTCAAGAGTAACCTACATATTTTCTCCCTATCAGCACAAAGCACCAACATTTAAATTGCTACCATTTTATTGTTTCAAGAAGCAAGTGAGTGCCTGCTTATCTCCAGAAATTATTAACTTCTAATTTATTATCTTTCTTATTTCTTTTTTTTTCATTGCCTCCACCTCACCTCTATTTTAATTTCCTTTTTTTCTGGCAGGAAAATACTTGCAATATAATTTTCTCCCTATCAGCACAAAGCACCAACATTTAAATTGCTACCATTTTATTGTTTCAAGAAGCAAGTGAGTGCCTGCTTATCTCCAGAAATTATTAACTTCTAATTTATTATCTTTCTTATTTCTTTTTTTTTCATTGCCTCCACCTCACCTCTATTTTAATTTCCTTTTTTTCTGGCAGGAAAATACTTGCAATATAGATGGACTTTGCTATGGTGAAGGAGAATCAAGCCCTACCAGTCCTTGTCTTCTCTGTGAACCTGACATTTCTAAGTTCACCTGGTCTGTTAATGAAAGTAAGACAAGGTTTGATTTTTCCTAAGATTTAGAAGCACTTATCTGGGAATTAATGATTCATTCTGTGAAATGCATTGTGCTTTCATTTGGCTAACATGAAACTATCCTGTGTAGTGCACATGGACAGTTTGCAGTGGGAATAATTGTGTGCACTAGAAATGCAAACTCCTCTGCATACATCATGTATCTGGGCATGCACGTTGCTCTGTCTGAAACCTGGCAAATCTCAAATTAATAAATGAAAATAACACCTGAAAATGGCCAGTGCTGCATGCAGTGCCCAAGTCTGTCAGCTAAAGGTGATGGACCCTAAATACCTCTGTCATCATCATCTCGTAAGTATAAATCTGTAAGGGAACTATTTGGGGAAAATACTGGGTTTAACACACTAGTGTGTATTTTGGTATCTGGAAGAATTACTTCCTATCCCTGAGCCAAATCCTATGAAATGTCACACAACAGACTTTGGCTTGGCAGGGAGTCTAAGTGCTAGGGATCAGCCACTCATTACCTTCACTGCCACAGAACCTGGAGGCTCATTCTGCAGCCCCTCGAGGCTGGGGTCACAGACAAACTGCCTTTGGCTGCACCTCCCAAAGGCTGAAGACTTAATCATAGTTTTTTCATGGCTATATCCCCAGTGTAAACAACAACCATTACTTACCTCACATTTTACAGATAATCCATGTTTCCAGCAGCATTATCCTCATGGCACAACTGCTCCCCTCACATAAGCACACTTGCATCTGGTCAGTATAAATATTATATTACTGCTTTTATGTGTTGTTTCTAGAAAGAGTTTCTCTGCACTTTTAGGTTCTGTAAACACAGCAAATTACAGACAAGTGTGTGAGTGACAGGACAAGTTTGCTTTGTTTGTTTGTAGTTTTATATTTGTTTAGAGTGACTAGGTCAGCAGGACCCTTCTGGAAGGATAGGAGGTTGCTCTTGTCCTTGTGGAATAGCTGGGGATGCTCAGGGACAGAGACTCCTAGAGAGTGCAAGGTATGGCAGCAGAAATGGCAAAAGCTGTGTCACAGCGGATGGAACACAGTAGGGAGGGAGAAAGTTGTCCATGAGCCCTTTCTATTCCTGTTTTACTTTGAATTTTCTCTATTTAAAAACATAATCCTCTAGTTTATGTCCTAAAAAAAATCCAGCTTTTGAAATTTAAAACTCCCTGTCAGGAAAAGGTGTAGCCCAAGTGCTGGCCAACTAAAAATATCTTTGAATGTCACTAGGATGAGTAGTTAGAATGCCTAATGATAAGCCAGACCATAAAAAATAACCTGTACACTTGAAAGCTGTGTGTTTACCCCCAGAAAAATATGGAAGTCTAATGGGAGAGATTATTTGTGATTCACAAACCTTGCCTCATTTCTATCAAAGAATCATAGAATGATAGAAAGGTTTGAGTTGGAAGGGACCATAAAGATCATCTCATTCCAACCTCCTGTCATGGGCAGGGACACCTCCCACTAGACTAGAGCCCTGTCCAACCTGGCCTTTCATTCTGTTGGCCATAGCAGTAGCATGTCTAGGGAGGAGGTGATCCTGATTGTTCTATAGACAGATTCATTACTCATACTGAGACAGTTTGATTTTAAAATTGAGGAAATGGTTTAAATAGAAAAAACTGCTTCTGTTTTGCAATTTATAAAGCTAGAAGTAGTTGGAGAAATTTGAAACAGATCATGGTTCACTTTTTAATTATTTCAAAATTTAAAAATATTTAAAAGAAAGAGATTGTTTTCAAAAATGTGAAAACCATTTTAAAATTTCTGCAATAATAGGGAGTGCATATATATATATATATTTGCTGGATGGCAAGGAGATGTCTGTAGAATTAGAAACAGTCCTTCACAGACTCCTTTCAGAACATCTGATTTTAAGTTATTTTGTGCCTACCACTTCTTGTTGCCATCCATCCTATTAACACCTTTGTGTTTATCTCTAAATGCATACTCAGCATCAATATTTCATTGATTACTTTGGGCACAATTTTTATGGGCTCCAGGGCTTTAGTGTTTGGGAAATAAAAGGTAAATGAATAGATGGAAGCTTTCAACAGTTATGCCAGGACAATCTGCTGGACAAGCATTTTAGAAGGCTCTAATAGCACAGCTGCAATAAATGGAGGCACATATTTAAATAATTGCATAATATGAGACGTGCTATGGAAAGCAAAGTTTGATAAAAGGATATGCATCACAAAAAAGCCCTAATGATGACTTACCAGGAGCATAATGGAAGGATTCCTTATGAGAACATGTATATAATTCATAGTTTTAGAGCATGACTTGAAATGAATCCTTAGAATTAGAAATGTGCTTTAAGTTAGACATAACTTTGGCCAAATTACATTGTGAGAAGATTCCTTTAAATATCACTACATGTCAATTTGTGCAGCTGGTTCAAGAGGAAAGAGACTTGAGGCTTGAGACTGAGGAGGCTTAGGACATGGAGATGAAATTCCCTGTCCTGCACAGAGCTGCTGTCACCTCAGGGTACTCATCTGATCTTACTTTTTCTTGGTTTCTAATTATAAGATACTTTTCTCTACCTTGTCCTCCTTACCTATTTATATTGTAACTATCTTCAGGTAGTGTTTGTCTTCTACTGTACAAAAGCCTTGTACAATTAGGCTTTTATCTTCATTAAGAAAATACTGAATATAAACAGCAATACTAGAAATAACAGTGTTAATGGTGACATGATACACACTATTGGCACTGGGGATAGAGAATCTCAGCAGCACTGACTTATCTCTGCTGGCACTGAAAAGACCTTTATTACTAATGAAATGTCCAACTGAATTCAGCCAAACTCCTTGGACTTAATTATTTCTCATGGGTAAAGTCAGGAGAGTCTACTCAATGGAAGAATGACACAATTCTTTTTCTCCTGAGTTGTCCATTTGCCATTTATCATTTTGAGATTTATTTATATGGATGGGTGGATAGATAGAATGGTAGATAGATTAAATATACATGTAAAGAAAAAAAATATAATTAGCTCAAGTTTTAGTGAGAATTAGGAGACTAGTGAGAGTTTATAGAAGTCATGTCTGATCTCCTCCCATGTATCAGATAGCATATCAAAAGTAATCAAAGTGCAGTACAGGAGAAAAATTCAGTATGGGACATGAAAAAAAAAAGAGGAAAAATGTGTACTTTTTTGATAAAGACATTTGCTGCCTCTAACATCCAAATCACTTCCTCCATCAGTCTCAGGGGATGTTGTGTGTCTTTTCTTTGAGACCGTTCCTTCAAAGACCCACTCTTCAAATCTTTACATGGGAGAAACTGGAATTTATGTAATCATGCTTTCATTTTTGCTGTTTAGACAACCTGCCTCCTGTGTTCCAGGCCCCCTCCAGCCAGCTGCTGACATTTATTGGTGAGAATTTTGTTTACCAGCTAATAGCAGTGGATCCAGAAGGGTCAGCTGTGCTATTCATCCTAGAGGCTGGGCCACGGGATGCCAGGCTCTCTCCTGCTGGCCTTCTTATCTGGAAAGTTGATGCAGAAGAAATGCAGACCTTTGAATTCACAGTGTCAGATGAATGCAATGCACAGAGCAGATACTCTATTGAGGTAAGGAAATGAACACTTTTAAGGAAAAACAAAACAAACCTGTTTGTCAGGTCATTGCTTTGGTGCAATTGTCATTATGGCTAATAATTTGTTATTGTCTTGAAAAACAAGGCTTCAGCTATTTCCTCATAAGCAATAATGATCAATTAATGGAATAAATATCTTTGAGAACATAGAAACTATATATACAGGGAACAAGAGAGAGTGCTATTGATTGCTGTTTGAAAGAACATTCTTGCAGAGCCTTTTAATGGTTCATTAATCTGCTTTAAAATTCACATTCTGCATTTGGATTGCACAAAAAAGCATATAACATAAAAGACCAAGTTTTAGCTATAAAAGGGAGATTATAACTCATTCTCAATGATATTTTTAGAGGATGTCTTGCTCTTACGTTATTACTCCACACTCTTAGTTTCTTGGCAGAGCTTGTGCATTGCTTTGTCTTTCCTGTATAATCCTGTGATCGGGTGTGCTAATAAAGCAGGATGCAGACTCTTGACATAAGAAGATTTTTACTCCTAAAGATTCCTATTTTTACTCATTCAAGCCGCAAAACACCAATCTGCTGAACTCACACAGCAAAGTGGAAACTGAAACCTAGACACGGTTTTTAATGGAAACATTTCAAACTAGACCCATGTTATCTAGGTGAGATAATACAGAGCTTTGAGTCTGTTGAAATGCAGTTCTTGTACATATGTAAAATACAACTATGGATCTCCCTTCCCTGAAAAAAGGGACCAGCTGAGGAATGCCACAGTCATGTTTCTGCCTGGGAGCCATTTGTAATGTGAAAGAGTAAGGAGGGCAGGCAAGGAAAGAGAAAAGATTTTTCATTTCTTCTTTGAAGAATAAGGAACAAATTCTGCCCTCAGATACTATGTGAAAAGTGCTGTTATAGCAAATAAGGCAGGTTTTTTTCTTATAAGAAGTTAGAATGTGCCCCTAAATGATGAAAAAAAGAAATCCCTTTGAAGTTGAGCTTTCAGTGAAATAAATAAGTATGCTGAGTATAAGACCATCTATCTAGACAAAGGAAATTGGTTAGAAATAAGTTTTCATAATACTGGATAACATGTTTGCAGTGCAAATCTCTCTCTTCCTAAAGGGTAACAATATACCTCCCAGCTGTGATTATTCAGAAGAATCTTACCACGACTCCCTTTTGCCTTCCTCAGGTTGGAGTGAAGCCCTGCAGCTGCCTCAATGGTGGGACATGTGTTACTAATATTAAATACCCTCCAGGCCTTGGTGAATACCTGTGCTTGTGTCCAAACGGATTTGATGGAGAATTTTGCCAGGATGACATTAAGGACTGCAAATCAAACCCCTGTGGCAGTGGAACCTGCGTGGACAATGTTGAGAGCTACTTTTGTAAATGTCCCCCTGGTTTGGGAGGTAACTCACTGTTTCCATCTCTGATTTAACTACAGGATTTTTTTGAGTGCAGCATGGCCATAAGCATCTGACAAATGGACTGCATATATAAGCTTCCTCTTCTGCTCCCATGGCTTAGCTTTAGACATATAGAAAATGTGCAAAAGCAGCTGTTAATGATAAGGAAAAATGACCTAAAGCACTGTGGTCCTGAAATGTTCACTCAAGGAGACTGTGAACCTCTTTGATCTCAGTTGGTTCCTGCTTATTTCCCATGGATCTGTCCATCCATGAGATGAGCTAGGAGATGACTGAGTGGAAGAGAGAAAAGGCAAAGATCCAGGACCCTTTTGCACTGACTTAATTACACTGAGCGAAGAACTAGGAATAAATTATTTTTCTAGGTCCAGAAAGAAGATGTGGAAAACATGCAAAAATAAATTGTCCTTTAGTCCCACTTGAAGCTTCATTAAATTTAAGCATTAGAAAACCACAAGCCCATTCAGTTGTCAGACATGCTGATGAAACAAAATCTAACCTTTCATACTGTTCAGGGCTAGTGCCCTGATTTCAGAACTCTGTCCCAGCTGAAACCAGAACAGCTGGCCATAATATGATTTTAAGAGATGAAGAGAACAGGGATGATCATTGCACCAAAAAAACCCCAAAGGATTATTTTAGAAAAGCAGAAGGAGAAGTTGAGGAACAAAAGAGTGAGACCAAAGAGTTGGATACAAGACATACAGTGCAAACAGGAATGGAGTAAAGACCTGAGGTGTGAGGAGAAAAAGAAGCATCTAATAGATAACATAGACAAGGAGAGGACATGTCTGTACCTATCATGCAATTTATAGCCAGCTTCACTGCACTCAGGACATCTGGGAATGATTCACATAGACGAAAAAGCACTTGTGACAGCACATGGACAAGGACTCCCTGTGCTCTGCAGGCTGGCATGGGCAGAGCCAGCCATTAGACTCTGCTGCATTAATCATCTGGAATTGGGCTGAGCTGAGTCACTGCTGGGTCTCTCAGAGTGCCCACCATCTCCTCAAGCTGGGACCCACACTCCAGCTGCTCAGCACACTGTGCACTTCCAACACAACAGATTTTCACATTGGCCTAAACATGCCTTCTCCTGGAGTTTCATGAAAGTTGGTTTCTTTTTATTTCTAGTTCAATTCTTCAGGAGGTACAAGGCAAATCTGAACATACAGGACTTGAAGAGGATTTCTAAATCTAGTTCTTGCTTAGTTTTGGAAAGGGCCAGTTACAAAACACCCACTCACCCAGGTGGCTATGCAGTCATGGGAAAGTGCAGACCCTGAATTAACATCCTTCCTTGTCAGAGTCAAATTAGTCTCCCACAAAAGCAAGGTGTTAACTGAGACTGTATTAGAGCACCCAGAATACTCAGATCCAAATAATTTCAAAAACAGAGTAAGAGAAAAGCACCTTAAACTGAGCTCAGATTTCAGCCCTTGAAACTGCTCTGATACCCTGCTCTGTTCACATTCATGAGACTCATAATATTGGCAGCTGTCAGTGTTATAGGTTTGAAAATTCAAGTAGAAGTAACATCAAATGCACATAATTATTACTGCTTATAGTGCATATATACAGCAGAAACTCAATTTTAAACAAAAACAGTGAGCAGATTTTACCCAACAGGCTCATGCAGGCAGCAAGATTCCTATTCTGCCTGTCAGCAGTTCATGAAACCTTTTTTGTTTTGGTCATGTGGGACTGCAAGTCCAGATTTCATTAGCTATAATAATAATCATTCAGATGTGGAAGTCTAGAAAAATGGCCTAACAGATCTGTGGCACCTAGCTGATACTGACTCCAAGTAATGCTAGTAAATGGCCAAAGCTCAGTGCTGTCAAAAGTCTTTATGCCACCAGAGAGTCCACTGATGAAAGAACACACAAGCCTAAAGATGGAGAATAAAGTTACAAAATGGAAGTTTGATCAAAATATAAAAGTCCCCAAAGCAACGAAACAGATGCAGAATGTCTTGAATCCCTCTGGAAACTATATTCTTATGAGCACAGAGAAATTTGGGAACTTTTTAGGGTGTATTTGGTTAAACACTGGAGATATACAATGAGAACAAGTATTGATTGCCTGTAAGGAGGTGAATTAAAAAAAAAATTCTCATTGTTATGAATGAGCTTATTAAATTCATTCCATGAGTTAATAACTTCAGTGAACCTTCTGACTAGAGAGACAAGGGCACAGGACACCTTAATGGTCAGAGAAACACAAGATTTTTCTGCACCCTTAATTATTACTAGTTAAATAAAAGTACAATGGTTCTGCTGTTCTTCCTAAAATGCTGAAACAAAAGCAACAACAGAGACACAAACAAAGATATGATTGAGTGAAAATTGAATGTATCTCAAAGTTTTAATAGCAGGTGAAAAATTATAAGCAAGTGGAGCTGAAAACCAGCTGGGAAGCAGATGATTTTACTTCAGGGCAGGTTCTGTGACAACAATAAAACTCATCCTTGATGCTGTGTTTATGGCTCAATTCCCCAGAATACCATCAATAATCTAATGAGATGGCAATGCTATACAGCTCAAGTGACAGCACCACTTCACCATCAAATCTCTACAAATGACAGTGAATAGGTAGTAGAAACAAGAAGTTAACTCTTGTGAGAGCTTCTCAAACATGCCTGCAAGGGAAGCAGCAACTCAGGTGCATCAGTGTATCTCGGGCAGTGAAAGGGTAGAATGCAGGAATGGGAACAAGGCAGGGAGGAAAGCCATTGGAATGTCTGAGAGAAGGCTGACCCCAGGATTATTGCTACTTTAATTTTCTGCAGAGACTTCTATGGGCTTATCTCTGTGTATTCAAAGCTCATTCATTTTTCATTGACGTTGTTAACAAGATAACAAGAATTCCTGTTGTTTATTATTTTGGCCACAGAAAGCAAGAACATCACCCACGTGAGAATATAACTCATCCTTGAAAACAATCTCAATCACAAAACCATTCTTTCTTTCCCATATACCAGTGATTAGTATAAAGTTGGGGGTGGGGTGGGTGGATGAAACTCTAATTTCATTTTACTTTTCAGGAAACTGAAGCAAACCCCAGGATTTGTTCATGGTGTCTAATAACCGTAGAGCTCCTAAATGAGATTTCCTGTTCCTTTAGAGTCAACTTAATGTGAACACAGTCAAAAAATCTTTCTTTGCATCTGTAGGTGGTCAGCTTCTCTCAAGGCATGAAAAGACTTTATCTTCTCAGACAATTTCCCATGTAGGGATGGAGAAATAGAGCTTGGCACATAAACAGATGTTCAACCTTGCAACCTGAGGAACTTTTATTCCTATAATTTTTATTTGTACTGTAGCAATGCCAAGAGAATTGAGACTCCCTTGTGTTACAGTGCACTGGAGGTCATGCAGCAGAATAATTGACACTTCTTGGTGCAGACAGTTTTTTGTCCATTTCTGCTGCTACTTCAACAACCTTCAGCCAAATTTTGTACTTTGCAAACATTTGTCCTTGGACTCATCTGGATTATCATTGTGCCCACATTGATCAGACACTGTTTAAAATAAAATCTCTCTGAATGAAACTGAGTGCTTGCATAGTTTCATCTTTACATTGCAAAAATCAGTCAAGTGGGTGAATTTGAAAATTTATCTTCTTCCTTAAGGTGTCCCTTTGCTTTTTGTAATTTGAAAAACAGCACTTTGCAGCAAAAATAGAGTATGTAAGGGTGAGGAGAGGGGACTGAGGGAGAAGTGACTGCTGTTACTGAAAGTGGGAACTTCATCCCTGCTCTCATTGTTTATGATATCATGTTTAGCCTTTATATGATACTCAGAGAAAGAAAATAATTACTAATCTAATCAGAGGGTAACTCATTCAATATTTCCCATAATGTGATGTCTAATAATTTCCCAATGCATAATCAGAAATCAGTATCAGAGAAAAGCAGCCTGATGCCAGGAATGTGCTGATTAAATAAGACAATAGAAATAGTCATCCAAAATGTAACAAGGGTGGAAAAAAGTCAGTCAGGCCCTACAATACTATGTGATGCCCATCCTCAATGAAAGAAGTAAGAAGCATGAGAGGCAAGAACAATTTAGCTTGAGATGGCATAGGGAAAAGGATGTGGCTTTTGTGCTGCTGGTCTTTTTTTTTCCTCAAGACAAAGCAGGCATGAAAAGTGATGTCACTGGCTTTTTTTAGGCAGCTCAATCAATAAAGAGCCTTCAATTTGAGTTTTCTACATGGAGATGCTATTTTAACTTGAAAGGAGTAGTGGAAGCTGTCTGAAATGCTGAAGCAATGAGAGATTATGTTGTAGGAGATGAATAATAATGCTCTGTTTTTATCATCCTGTAATTCATTCCACTGCTACAAATGTCTATTTTGAAGGGAAAAAAAAGTATTCTTTCATCCTTAGACCTTTTTTTATGATAAAGCTGGGCATCTGATATGGAACAAACCTTGCTATATCTTGTGGTATGTCTTGAAGTAGGTACCTGGGCTCTCCAGAAGTTGTCCCAATCTCCTTGTGTATTCCTACAGGGACAAAGGGCATGCCTTAATAGAAGTGATCTGGGCTAGTTTATGACCTGCTATCAGGGCTGCATATCCTGCAACCAGGAATAGCCAAGCAAGTTTGCTTAAGCACACAGAGACAGCAGCACGAACACCTGAAGCCTGAGGGAGCTTTTAACAACATTATATGTGATTACTCTGCATCATTTGCTGTTCAGATAGTAATTTTAACTTTTGGGTCACCTTCCCCTATAGGTATTCATTAAATCATCCGAAGTTGTGAATTTGAATCAGTTGCTTCAAGGGATTTTTAAAACTCTACTTCCAAAATCAGCAGTAGTCAAGAGACAATGTTTTGGGGTTCAGGTCCTCTGGCAATTTTAAAACTCTACTTCCAAAATCAGCAATAGCCAAGAGACAATGTTTTGGATTCAGGTCCTCTGGCAGCTTATCTTCTGTACATCAGCACCATGGCTCAGTGGCATTTTCAGAATGTGCCCCAAGATTTTCATTTCAGAAGAAAAACTTGGGATTTTTAAAGAAATCTGATCATTTTGTAAGATTTACCTTCAGCCAGAGCCTCTCAGGCTGGTTCACAATCATCCATTAGTTATGTGAGGTTCACACAGAAATAGAAATCACAATAGGTCAGTTCATGGCTCTTCATATCCCAAAGCCAAAATGGCAATATTCTTTGGCTTCTTCAGTATATGACAAAGATCTCACATAAATAATACAACAAAAGCAATGGCAAAGATTTGAAATGCAGGGGAAATATTAATTTTATTTATGTGCATTTTTATTGAACATGCACAGCTTTCTATGAGCAGTAGTCTCAAGTTCAGCACTTCTGGTGCCAATAACGACTGTAATAAACAGTGTGATAAAAGCAGGTTTAAGTGAGACAGTGGGGAATTTGGCTGGAACATGAGTGACATACCCTGTAATGAGTTTACAGCTGAGAAGTGAGCCTTCTTCTGCTTCAACATTTGAGCTGAAGTATAAACAGGGAATCTTTTCTGATTATTAACTTCCCCTTTGTTTTGCCACAGGGCTTACTTGTCAGGAAGACAGGAATGAATGTGAAGAGAATCTCTGTTTTCCTGGAGTGTCTTGTATGAATACCTTTGGATCTTATGCATGTGGAATTTGCCCCAGTGGAATGGAGGGAAATGGTAAAACTTGCAAATGTAAGTGTTTTGCATGATTTATTTTAATAGATGGGAGAGAAAAAGAAGGTTCAATTTTACTACTATTATCCTTAATCAAGTACTTTCCCACTCAATTCAAGTACAGACATTTAAATATACAAAACAGATCATTGTCATGTTATGTTAATATGGATATTTGCAAATTGGTCTCTGCTGGGTTTCATTTTGGTAAGAACAAACACCATGCATACAAAGAAAAGTATTTTCCAGATGCCAGCTAGAAAATTTGCCAAGGACATTCCACATGTTCTCCAATATTTCATTCCTAAATATACCATCCACTAACAAGTACTTGGGGAACACCCCAGGATTGATTTTGCTTTGGGCAACTGCTGTGTAAGCAGGATGGAAGGTAAGAGAAAGAAGGTCTATGTGCCAATCCTTTCACCTCTGTTTTCAACATGTGCTTTCATTAGAGGACACAGCCCACAGATGCTTGGCATGAAGTCATTCCACAAATCCCAACCAGTGAAGAGAATGGCCAGGAACAATTTTAGATCTGCTCCATATTTGCTTTTGGAGCAACAGACTCTTTACTGGGGAGACTACACTGACTTTGTACTCTGCTGAGACTTTCCCAGGGCACTTGATGTGACCTGGACACTCTGTTTGTTTCAGTCATATAGACACAAGTCTTCTCCAAAAAATAACATTTTGTTTGCCATAAGGAAAGAAATCAACACTTGAAATATTTTGGGTTTGTTTGTTTGTTGGTATTTCCAAAGAAATCCAAGAAGCAAAAGATACAGATATTTACTGTGCAGATATTAGCATTTTCTCATATTGACTGCTGAAGGTAAAAAAAAAAATATTCGTTGTAAATAGACTGAGTTGTAACTGCAGGATCCTGGCAACAGCAGGACTGCCTTTGCAAGATTTACCAAATATCTCTTCCATCATATTGCCAAACATCTGTATAGAATGTTTTCTTTGCAGCATTATTTGGACAAATTAGTTATTTCAAAGTGATTTTGCATCTGTTTCACAAATGCACATTTTAGTGAGTAATTTGACTAGTGAAGGAAGGATATACAAAATAATGCCCTTTTGATAAATATATCAGAAAAGTAATTTCTTACTTTGCATTTTTTAGTTACAGAAATATTACTCTATTTCTGAAATGCACTTTTATTAGAAAGGATAAACCTGAAGGCTTCTCTGTCCACCCAAGATAGGACAGAAATCATTCTTTG